CGACTTTTTACATGAGTCTTAAGTTTGACTCAAAAATTAAACAAATAAATGATGACTGACGTAGGATATCCAATAAAATATTATAATTACAATTCGGGTTTCAAAAAACGGTCCGTGATCGTGATTTCAGTCGCGATATAGTAGTTTCGTCGTTGTTCGAGTTACCCGCGACGGCCGCAATAACGTCCGCGACAACCATAATAGCGCCCGCGACGACCGCAATCACAGTAAATCCGAAATAATCGAAAACATGATCGCGATCGCGATTTGAAACTGATTACAGTATAAAGATATACACATCTTAAAATGTTGAAAATATTGATTATTAAAATATTAAAATTTATAAAAATAAAAATTAACAATATTAATGATTAAAATATTAAAATTTATAAAAATAAAATAAACGGCGGAAATCCAATTCAACAACGCAATTGATGTAACTAGTTTTGAAGATAGCTTACGTTACGTCTTCTCATTTTCCGAAAGTTGGCTTTAATAGACCGGAGCCGCTAATTCTTACTAAAATTGAAAGAAATATGATTACAATGAACAAACCAGTCTTGTTTTGTTGCTGCCCAATAAGTCAATCCATACCACATTCAAAATAAATAAATAAATGTTTAATAGTTTTTTAGGTCCTCAAAATTAAAAAAAAATCAATATGATTCTTAATTTTTTTTATTAACGAAAATTGTTGTTGTTCAATACAATAGTGATATAACAATTCAAAATATTGATACAACGGTCTATGTTACTATCATGCCGGTTCATGATAGATGATGACATGACAAATAAGTTTAATTGATTCTTTTACAAAGTTCAAGGGCTTAATTGTTCCCTTTTAAAGTTTGAGGACTTAATTTCCTTAACCCAATATTTAAAAACTTCTCGTAAACTTTCAATTAAGCCACAATATTTAATTGAAAGTTTAAGGACCTTTATAATAAAAAAAAAGGAAATTGAAAGTCTTATAAAGGTCCTTAAATACTTAAGACTTTAAAAAAAACATCTCATTTCAAGTTGCATTCAATTTGATCCCTGGATTTCACAATTTCCTTTCAGTTAAGCCATAATATTTAATTTCTTTCGATAAATCTTTTTAACTTCCTATTTATTTCAACTTAATCTCATAAACTTTGTAATCTTTTTAATTGAGTCACAAACTTTAAAATTATAAATTTTAGGCCAAATTTTAAGGTATTACAGATGATATAAGATTATACATATCATTGATGTTGTCATCATATGTGATTTTAAAATAAGAAAGATTAATTTTATAAAATTATTAAAAATATAATTTTAAATATATTTATGAATAACAAATAAAAAAATTCACACCCCAATAATTTAATATTTGTGTAACACTCTAATCCAGTTCGACCCGAAAATCTATGGATTATAATATTATACGGGACTACCGAAATAGTGACCCAAAATTTTTTCTTTTAAAACTGCTTGTAAATTTCTGAAATTTAATCATCGATGATTTACTATAAAAACATAATAAAATATGGGTTTACAATTTATGGGGAGCTCCCAAAATGCATCCGCAAAATAATACAAATACTGAGTTTCAACATGAGTTTCAACTGAATACAAAACAAGTTCTATAACAATACATGCCCTCTAAAAATGACTCAAGACGTACTCTGAAAGGTCTTTGGAAATCTGCTATGTTATACTGGAATATCTTATGACAGAAGCTCCCCACAATCTGCCCCTAAGAACATGCGCACAGAAACACATTCTGAACGTTGAGCTTACGAGCTTAGTGCCTCACTAAAAACTATATTATACTATATGCATTCACTAGATGAACTGAAGTGGCACATGTTTGAACATGCTAAATACTGTACTACTAATATGTGGGTAACATCATGGTGTGATTGAGGGATTATGCATCTAAGAGCTCACGCACCCCTCTAGCACTGCCAAAGCACCATCAGCTACTCCTGGGTGAGATCCGTAATTCTGCATTAGAAACGTGCACCCACTGACTTACTTTATCGAGTCTTGGGGCATCTGACGCCCAGTCGGTTGCTGAAGTACCATGGAACTGACTTTGATCCACTGACTGTCGTATTTATGCTAAAAGGAACTCAGGTGTCCTGATTGTTTCCCGAGCATCAAACAAGGCTAGTTTTATGTAAACCTAGCTATATTATGCTTCTACTGTTATGATATTAATTATTGTTCTCGCTTGAAATCTTATTTGAGGATATACTGAAGTGTTGGGATACCTAGAGTCTAATTCCCTTAAAAATTGATATTTTTGTCCAAAACATATTGAAAAATATCGATAATATACTAAGATTATCGATACTTTTAAACATTTTGGACCGCCTAGTTTCGAAACTTTTTGTGAGTTTCGAAACTATGTCCCAAAGTATCGATACTCTTGCCCAAAAACTCACTAGTTTGCCTGAGAATAATAACAAGTTTCGATACTATCCCTCTAGTATCGAAACTCAACCTGCAGAGAGCATAAAATAGGTGCAAAAACTCTAATTCTTCATCCCAAAGACCTAAGTGATGTCCCCAAACATTATTAATGTTTTATATAGGTACAAAGGAGCATAAATAGGGCTTTAAACATATTTATAACTATAAAACATGAAATCTGCCATGGGAGTGCTTCAAGCTCATACCACCTACTACATTTCATCTAAATGACTTACACATAGTATAGTTGAGTCAAAAGTGAGCTACCTTTGATACTAAACTGCTGAAAACACCTAATACTCAACCAAGGTTGAGTTTCTCCTTCCCTTTAGCGTTGAAGTTTTATCTAATCTCTCTCACTATACAAACATCAAGAGATAAATTACTAGCTAAAAGAAATGGTTAAGGAGGTAATAAGAACTCTTCCTAAACCTATAGATTATTGAAAACATGCTGAAATCTTGAAAACTCTGAAACCCCACAAAAAATCGTTCTTGGCTCCCATGGTGAAATAATGAAGTTGAGGGTTCAAAAGAAAGCTCTAAAGATGTTGAATTCACTCCTATCATGGTATTGTTGAACTAGGGTTGTCAGGTTCCAAAGTTATCACCTTTAACTTGTTTATCTTAAAGGAGAACAAGAAATAAAATGAAGATTTGGAGAGGAATAAGAGACAAGGAAGAGTTGAGGAAAAAAGAGAGTATCAGACGTGATCTCACCAAGCAATTAAATATTTCATCATTTTGAAATTTTAAAAGGTATAATTGTTACCTTGGTCTATCTAATTCTGAATATAGATTAAAAATGCCATTTTTAACTCCTTATTGGGCTTACCTCAAGCCCAATCCACTTTAATTTAGGTCAAAATCTCTTACAAGTTAGAAATTAACCCAAGACTCATATCAGAATAGTCCAAAACTTCTAACTCGATATTTGAGGCATTACAATTTGATTTGAATTTAAATTTAAAGTTTCATCATATAATATTATTGTTATAAAGCAAAATCATCTTTGTTGTTGTATCAATTGAAAATTTCGTTTCTATGATAAATATACACATTTATTTAAACAGTTTATTTTTTAAATTATGCTTAAATTAGGTTTTAAAAAAAGGTGCAATATCATTATTTTATGCTAAATAAAAAAATAAAATATATATTAAAGATTAAAATAAAATAAATAAACGAGTACAGTTAAACTAAAAGATAAGAAAAATGATAAGGCTAGTAATTTTTTAATATATTTATATTTAAAAAAATAATATTTTTATAATATATATATATATATATATGTGTGTGTGTGTGTGAGAGAGAGAGAGATAGATGAAATTGTGATAAAATTTTATGTTATATTTCATTAAATATTAATATTATTGATAAAATTAATAAAATAATGGATAGAATTAAATTTTAGATATCGATTTAGAAGTGAAAATTATCGTGTAAACTACTTAGATAATCATTAAATTACACGATCGATTCTATTTTGATAATTAAATTATATTTTTAATTAAACCACTCAATTATTAAAATACTATCAATCAAGCTATTAATGGTTAACAGTTAAAAGAATAATTGTCATGGGAATTAAAAAAATGTATAATTATATAAGCATAATGATAACATTAGCCCCAACGTTTGTTTAAATGGCAACTTCTACTCTTATTTTTTTAATATTTTAATTCCTAACATTTTATTTTTTATCAAAATAGTCACTATTAGATTGAAGCTATTAATTGATTAACGATCAATATATGTTAATAACATGATATTTCTATATATGTTAAATCAGTGACATGACACATATTACATCATCACTTTGAGTAATATGACGCATGACATGTCATCAATTAAATATATGGATAAATGTCACGTTAACAACAAGCATTAACTTAGTCAACTATTAGTTTTTATCTAACAAGTGCTATTTTGATCAAAATTGAAACATATGGGCTAAAATGTTTTAAAAAAAGAACAAAGGCCAAAGTGACCAATTAAGCAAACATTAGAGGCTATTTTTTTCATTTGCTAATTATACGTTAGTCTTCGTTAATTACACATTTTATTAATTTTGTTTTCATTACTTATAAATATCATTGTAAGATTAAATTTATTGAATTAATCTAAAATTAGGATCAAATTAATAAAATATATATGTAATGAAGATAAAAAATATGAATTATACATTTTTACTACACATAAGCAATTTTTTTAACTTTAATGATTTGATTGATATCATTTTATTAGTTCACCGATCTAATTGATTTTTTAGTTCAATGGTCAAAATAGAATCAACCTTATAGTTTAGTGACTATTAAAATAATTTATTCAAAATTCTTTGAGTACCAATTTGAAAGAAATTGACTAACTCAAATACCAAATGTATATTTAATCCAAATATTATCCCACCTTGCCTGGTTACCGTCCGTATCCGCACGTGGCGTGAGCGGCGTTCCCTCTTTACCCTAGAGTCTCTCTCCAGTTACTCTCAACTTTTTTATTTATAGGCCCAATAAAATGACAGGACGGCGCTCAGTTCTTCGCACTTTTCAAAGCCTCTTTCTCTACACAAAAAAAAAAAAAATCAAAAGAATCTCTCTCTTTCTCGCTCTCAACGCAGAGCGATAGGCGCCGAGGCTTCCAACAATCCATCACAACAACCAATTACACGCTTTTCTAAGGTATTCTCTACAAATTTCAAATCAAGCAAACCGTTTAATGTCAGATCTGTATCGTTTCTATGCCGTTAGATTTTCTTCTTCATTATTAGTATTAGAGATCTGATTGTTTTCTGCTGCTATTAATCTTTGGAGAAATGGAGTGGAATGTTTTGAAATGATTTCTTTGCGTGCGTTTGATCTGATCTACCGTAAACGTGTTGTTTTTGCAAAGTTTACGCTTGATTCATTAGATCTGTTGCTATTTACTTCGCTTAATTGCAAATATGTGTTGTGAAAATCTGTTTGATTCGTATCAGTCGCTCATTTGCAGTTGAATTCTTCTGATCCGCTGACTTTGTTTTCTTTTTATTATTTTAATGATGCTGCTTTCCATCACTTTTAGAAACACTCCGTTTGCTCTTTTAAATAGATCATTTCATTACCTTCAGATCAGCGGCTGCTTGTGTCTTTTCAAACGAAACAAGATATATATGTATTTATTTGTAATATTGAATTGTATCTGCTACAATTTGTTACCTCATATTTCATACATGCGTATATGTGTACATATACGTGAGAAAGATTTTGAGATGTTTAGTGCGTTTTAGATTATTGTTTACTCTGTTTCTGATTAAAATTGATACGATGATAATGATGCTTTATCCTTATTTGTTTCGGATGCCATTTTCTCTCTTATAGTAATGCTTTGTTCTGGATCGTTTGTGTCACTTCTGCAGGATTTCACTTGAGTTTACCAATATGCACCTTTTTGCTTATTCTTGTTAGGAATCACTATTCTTCTGCCTGATGTTTTTTGAAATTTGTTTTTCTTGGTTATATTATTTTCATATTCGTGATCATATATCCAACTTTGTTTCACTGTTGGTATGAGTTGAACCATTAATATGTTTGTAGATGATTTTACCTCAGTTGGTAATTGGTGTTATGCAAATTCCACCTCATTGTTTTTTTTATGTATTTTCATGTGCACATGTACTTTCTTGCATCAGAATGGATCAGGTTCAACACCCAACTATCATGCAGAAGGCGGCTGGACAGCTCCTTCATTCTAGCCATGCTCAAGATTTCCAAGGTTATGGTGGGTCTTTCAGGAGGCCTGCTCCATACCAAAGGCGAGTTGTGTACGGGAACTACTCGAATGCTGCACTGCAGTATCCTGCTGTACGGGCTTCTGGAGCTACCAGTGACCTACGTATGGTTCCATCGACAGCATCTGCTATCTGTGTTCAAGCCCCTGCAGAGAAAGGATTTACCAGCTTTGCTATTGATTTCCTCATGGGTGGTGTTTCTGCTGCTGTATCTAAAACTGCTGCTGCTCCAATTGAGCGTGTTAAGCTTTTGATTCAGAACCAAGATGAAATGATCAAAACTGGTAGGCTCTCTGAACCCTACAGGGGCATTGGTGATTGTTTCAAGAGAACAATCCAGGATGAAGGGTTTGGTTCTTTGTGGAGAGGAAACACTGCCAATGTTATACGTTATTTCCCCACTCAGGTTACCAATTTTATCTTTTGAATTCTTCGTTAAATTATATTTATTGTACATGTTTTTATGCTTATTGTTTGCTTCATTTTGCAACAGGCCTTGAACTTTGCTTTCAAGGATTACTTCAAGAGGCTTTTCAACTTTAAGAAAGACAGAGATGGTTACTGGAAGTGGTTCGCTGGAAACTTGGCATCTGGAGGTGCAGCTGGTGCTTCTTCCCTTCTCTTTGTCTACTCCTTGGATTATGCTCGAACCCGTCTTGCCAATGATGCAAAGGCCGCAAAGAAGGGAGGAGAGAGGCAATTCAATGGCCTTGTTGATGTCTACAGGAAGACCTTGAAATCCGATGGCATTGCTGGTCTTTACCGTGGTTTTAATATCTCATGTGTTGGAATCATCGTTTATCGTGGTCTATACTTCGGAATGTACGACTCTCTAAAGCCCGTTGTTCTCACCGGCAATATGCAGGTCAATATGATGTTTAAAGCTAATGTCATTGATCATAGTTCTATCTGCATTATTTGTAATGACATCTTGCTTTCTGTTTTCCTCTGGTAATAACAGGACAGTTTCTTTGCTAGCTTCGCCCTCGGTTGGCTCATAACCAATGGTGCTGGCCTTGCATCTTACCCTATCGACACCGTTCGTAGAAGAATGATGATGACATCCGGCGAAGCCGTCAAATACAAGAGCTCTCTCGACGCATTTTCTCAGATCTTGAAAAACGAGGGTGCCAAATCTCTGTTCAAAGGTGCCGGAGCTAACATCCTTCGTGCTATCGCCGGTGCTGGTGTGCTCGCTGGATATGACAAGCTGCAGCTCATTGTTTTCGGAAAGAAGTACGGATCCGGTGGTGCTTAATTATGGGGTGGTGGTCTATCTCCCCACTTTTGTTGCGATTTTTAGGTATAAAGATGGCGATGAAAAGCTCGACCTGAGATATTTATTTCGGCTAAATTTCATTAGTAATTCAGATTTTGTTGGAGTAACTCCCTAAACGATTTTTTGTTTTTCAGATGGGAAATTTTGATTACCCATCTCTGATTTTTGATTTGCTTTTAAGAATTGAAATAATGTTTTTATTTATTACTAGGGGTAATAATTTGCGATGGAGCACGTTTTCTTTTTTCATGATACTCTTCATCTCGTCCCAAATTACATAAATGGCAAGATAAATATAACCATCTTTTATCGGATCTATTTAAAAAAAATTATATACAAAATAAATACATTTGCCGTAAGGGCCGATTGGATCAAGAAAAAAAATCATTATCGAAAAGAATAATCTTTCCCGAATAATTATTATAGAGAATATTTTTTTTTCGAAATCACATGCCTACTTTCAGTTCAAAAGCATTCCCCACCAAAAAGTAAGGAAACATTATCAACATTGTTTTTTTACCCTGAGTTATCAGAATTACGTTCCCTCGTATTTTTAGGTATTAGATAATTCTTTTCTCTTTGGACAATAATATCCCTAAATAATATAATTATTTCAAAACAATCCTTCCTTTGTATATAATAATACATGAATATAAATCTATTTTATTTATTTTATAATGATTTGTGGCTTTTTTAATACTTACTACAAAATATATGGTGAATATAAAATAAAAAATTTATCAGTTTTTTTATTTTGTTTTGATTATTTTTACGTATGTGCTTGATTCAGATTTTATATATATATTATTACATGTATTATTTAAGATTAATTTTTATAAAAGGTTGTCATATTATATTTTTTAATGTTTTCTATTAATTTTGTCATATAATTTGATATGATATTTTGATTTTCAACTCTTACATGTAGCCTAAATAAAAAAATGTAGTGATTAACACATACTTGCATAGATGTAAATATTTACATATCTCAACCTAAATATAAACATATACTTACACCGGTGTAAGTATGCACATCTCTCAACTTAAAAATAAACACATACTTACACCGGCGTAAGTATGTACATCTCCCAATATTTTAGAACATAAAACTAAACACATAATTATATTGATGTAAATATGTTTTGATATTTTTAAAGAAAGAAATAAAATTAAATATAATAAAATATATTAAATTATTTCTGTACAAATTTTATTAAAAATAATAAAAAAAGTTTTTTATGAACTTTCATTTGTTAAAAAATAAAATCGATCTCAAAGACAATTTGATAAAACATATATTTTCTTAACTTATATTTTTTATCCAAATTATGTAATCTTATATTTATTTCAAAAAAACCAAATAAGATAATATAATATTCCTAATATTAAGTTATGTAACATTCTGATTATCTTATTTCTAATAATAATTTTATATTTCGTAAACCAATTCATCCTTAATCATTTTAACAAATAAGTTGTTATGTCTACATAAAGTAGATACACCAACGTCCCACATATATATAACTATTACCCAATCCTCCCCCATGCAAAAAAGTAGTGCAAGCAGGGGCCTTCTTCACCCTTGAGTAAAATGCAAAAATTACAATTTAAGTCCTTACTAGAAATTGTTAATTTAATTTAATACTTTTAACACTAAAATTTCAACATTACTCCCTCCAACTAACGATTCCTGCTGCCAGTGAAAGATCGGGTTGGAAGATGAGTTACAAGTAGTTGAACAAAGCCAATGCCTAACATTGGGTTTATTTTTTTAACGTGGACTTTTCGTCGTTACATTCTCATCTACAATAGAATCACACGTCTACTCCTTACCAATTTCATTCATCATCCGCCCACTTTGATTTGATGCTATTTTCTAATTCTTCTTTTAGTAATAAATAATAAATTATTTATAATTAAACGGTAAATAATAAAAGTAAATCGGTGGGTAGGACGGTTGTAACAAAAGTAAAAATAATTATGTATTTTATATATGGGTGATCACAGATGAGTTTCGGATTAACTCGATTTGATCTAAGATATATATTCTATCCACTCGAAATCTAATTTAAGAAATATTTAAAAATTATATGAACTAATTTATCTCAGTGGTTAAAAAAATCGTTATTATTTTTAAAAGTTACGGGTTTGTGGAGCAGTAATTACAGTAGGGTGATTGAACGTTCATTGTCAAATGAATGAAAGTATTTAGAACAAATACTATTTTGTAATCACTTTAACTTAATAAAAAAATTTAAAAGAATATTAAAAATTAGGGATTAATATAAAACGAGAATTATAATTTAGGGGTGTAAGGTGAAATTAACTCTTAAAAAATAAAAACTAAAACTAAAAGGGTCTATAAATGTTTAAATGGGCGTTTTTACGTGTCAATAAACGCAAATGCAACGCTTTTCTTCACCTTCACATTTCACAGTCGCACAGAGAGAGAAAACCCAGAAAAGAGAGCTTCACATACTCTGCTCTCTCTCTCTCTCTCTCTCTTCTTGGCTTTTATCTTAATTTTCCTTCTATTTCTTCCATTGTTTTAAATCTCAAAGTAGTTAATTTCAGTCATATTATCAAAGGTAAACCCAGCAATTCATCTGTCAAAAATCACTTTCTTCACCAATTTCCCTTTCCCTTCACTCTTTCATCCACTTGCCAGATCCCCCCCTTTCAAAATGCTTCTGTAATTGTAATCTCTTTGCTTATGTTTATTTTCTCTGTAATATACACATTAAAAGAAAATCTGGGTGTGGCTTCATTTCCCCATTTGTTGGACAAATCAAAGGTTCCTTTTATTTCTTTCTTTTTTTAACAATTTTTGGTTTTACAGAGAGATGACAAGAGGTGTGATTAATGCTGCTTTTATCCTTGCAAATTAACGTTGTCAACTTTTGTTTCATATAATTTGGTATAGAAGCAGTGCCACCGAGTTTAGCTTGCAGTTTGCACTAACATAGTTCGAATGATCTTTGATTATGATGTTAACATTGTGCTTAATTGCAGCTTAGATAATTGGGGGTCAGATACAGGAGGTTGAACATGAATGGAAACAGGCAAATGGAGGTTCATTTTATAGATACAGGCTTTCCTTATACTGCTACTGAAAGCTTTATGGACTTTTTTGAAGGTCTAGCACATGTTCCTGTGAATTACACTCATGCTGGACTGATGCATGATCAGGTATTTTTCAGACTTTTAATCTTTTATTTGATGGCAAAAGAAAGAAAAAAGACACTTGTTGTTGTAGAATTCAATGATGTTTGATTAGGGTGTTCTGTGTTCATGCTTTTGGCCAATGCATAGGTGTAGGGTCAGGGTTGGACCAACCTGAAATTTTAAAATTATTATATAATTTAGATATTTTCTTTGTATTTTCTATTGATAATATGCATTTGCCCCCAACATAAATTAAATTCTTGCCCGTCACTATCTGGGGTTATGATCTCCAAGGATCTCTCATATTGGAAAAACTTTGAAAAATCTTATCATATTCGTGTAGGATATATACTCGTTTCCAACACTTACACCTGCGTCTGAGTAATATGGGTCATCCCCATGCTTCTCATGGATGGTGGATATACATCGTCTGTCCTGTAACAGTTTTTTTGAATGGTCGATGTTCATTTCTTATGGATTTATGTCCTTAAATAAAGCATGATTAGTTGTGGTCCTTTTCAATAAGAAAATCGGAAGATTTAGTTTATCAGCATATGCTTTATTAATGTAGATGTTCTTACTACTCATTTGATCATAAAATCGCTCGTCTGTTAAGACATCAGCCAGTTGCTTGGTGTTGGATTCATGTTGTGCACGCCTACTCATTTCATGCACAAATGTGACTAAATGATAACATTCTTCTCTGTTCAGGAAAATATGTACTGGTCAATGAGTATGAATGCATACAAATTTGGGGTTTCGGGTCCGGAGAGTACACTTTACTGTCCAAATGAGGTAAATGATCATTTGACAAGAATGGATGCCCCGAGGACTTGGGACTACCCATCGACGCAGAATTCTGAACAGCCTACAATTTTAGATGTGCGAGATGCAGTTGTTGGCATGCATGCTATACCTGAAGAATGTTAGTTTAAAATATGTTTTAATATATATTTTCCCCTTTTTCCTACATTTCTAGTCCTAGACATTTATTTACTTTTTGCAGACACTCCAAATCATCAAAGCAATAGTAATTATCAGGTCCGATCTCTGTTTTCTATAGATGTTATTCGTTTTATTTTCTTGCATGTGCTTGTGCATTTTGTTCTCATGTATCGATTCAGATTCTCAATTGAAAGGAATATTCTATAAGAGTACCAAATCTTCCGGACTACGAAACGAAGTCCAACTATTGCCCTGATCAAAATTCGGTCTTTGTTACAAATTTATCGCCTTAGTACTCAAAACTTTTCATCGGAAAACAGAAGCCAACGATTATGACCAAGAGTGAGCAGTGGAAAGTAAAGCAGTGGCATGGATACTAATGTGGGGGAAATATAACCCATGTTCTTTACCAAATACGCCTGCATTTGTTGACCTTTTTGAGCCGTAGCTCTCGTATAATCCATATTTGAGTAACATTGATTAAATTTTTGTTCTTGATTTTGTGTATCATACCGTTTTAAACTCAGTTATAAACATTAAATCCTAGAATTTATATTATTTACTGATCAAAGGATTATCTGCGATATGTTGTCTCAGGTGGTTTGGCAAGACAATATCGACCCAGATAACATGACCTATGAGGTTTTCCTTTTCAGCTAATCTCGCTTTAATGTTTAAATTACATGCATTTCACTTCATATAAGACAGATGTGTACGTGCTTACCTTTCTCTCAAGTTAAATCACATGCAATATTAAGTTTTTTTTTGCATCTGTTAGTTACAGTCTTTTGGATTAGGATTTAACTAAGCCGAAGCTTGTACCAATGCCATTGATTAACTACATGATTTTTGTATGACAGGAATTGCTCGATTTAGGGGAGGCAGTTGGAAGTCAAAGTCGGGGTCTGTCCCGGGAGCTTATTGATTTGCTTCCAACCTCAAGATGCAAGTTTGGAAGTTTCTTATTTAGGAAAAAGTCTAGAGAGAGGTAAAACTTTTACTTGTATCTATTTTGTTGAACAATGTCCGCCTTCATTAAACTATAGCTGTTAACTGACCGTTGTGGCTCCGAACTCCGAACTCGTATAATTTTCTGGTGGCCTTTGTCTCAAGCATCAAAACTAAATTATCTTTTTTTTTCTTCAAAAATATTTTTTTTCTCGGTAAGTTTTAACATGCCTATACTAGGGGTGTAAACGAGCCGAGTCGAGCTCGAGTATTGCTGAGCTCGACTCGACTCGAAAACTCGCGAGCTTAAAATTTTCAAGCTTGACTCGAACTCGAAATCCTGAACTGAAGCTCGTGACAACTCGAAAAGGCTCGAAATGAAGAAAAAAAATTCTTAAACTTAACTCGATTGAAGCTTCAAACTCGAACTCGAACCTGAACCTTAAATGCATGAAAATCTTAAAGTATTCTCTTTAAAAAAATCAATACATAAATATTAATATTTTTAATAATTTTTTTTTAAAATATAATCTTTTATATTATATTTTCGAGCTGCTCACGAGCTTTTCGAGTCGAGTATCAAGTAGCTCGTTTCGGCTCGTTAAGAATTCGAGTTGAGCTCGAGTCGAGTCCATTCGATCCGAGTATTTATCGAGCCTTGATCGAGTCGATCTCGAGTAGCTCACGATCTGTCTCGTCTCATTTACAGCCCTAGCCTATACATTACAAATGTTTCGACCAGAATGTCCGTGGAGTCACTTTAAACAGATTTAAGTGATGATCTCTGTTCTTGTCCTCAATCGGAAGTTTCTGGTTCTTGAGGGTTGTGGCTGTGGAACTATGATGCTTGCTGAATAACTGAATTATACTGGTTGCAACATCCAGATGGATGTTTTATCTTCCTAGGATAAATAATTCGTTAGTTGGTAGTCTTTGCGGTATCTGAAAATTACTTTCCATACAGACTCAAAGACAAATCACAAGATAAACATTGCAGTTTTGTTCATCTCATGAAAGGGTTTGTGTTTGGTCATAATTTTTGTTTTTCTCAATGTAGCCTTGGTGTTAGTTTGTTGTTTACCTCGTTTTAAAAGCTCATCCTCATAGCTATCCGTTCCACGATACGTCTTTTGTGTGATCATTTGCTTTACTCGTGAAACAGCAGATGTGTCATATGCCAGACGAGGTACAAAATCGGCGAGCGCCAAATGAAATTGCCATGCAAGCACGTTTACCACTCGGAGTGCATCATGAAATGGCTTAGCATCAACAAGGTCAGTTTAATGCCACATAACATCTTCACTACTTGCTCCGATTCGGTATCTCTCCTACTTACACCGCCAATCCGAAAACGGTGTTTTGTTAGGTATGCCCCGTCTGCAACAACGAAGTATTCGGTCAAGAACCAAGGCATTAAAGGCATCAAAATCCGACAAGCATTAAGAGAGCAATCATGGGTTGGCATCTTTCCTTCCTTTAAAACTTTGTTTCATTAGCTTTCGACGATAAAATCGATCACTTTTGGAATATATTAGAGTTGCTTGGAGTTTTCCACTCACATTTTGCCTGAAAATTGTGGCAATTGCTGTCAATATATGAAATTAGTGTATGTAGTCTATTGTTGGTTACACTTTTGGCTTTGTTCATGTGAAAGTGAAACCTTACTGATAGATAATTCCTTTGTCTGGGTCAATATCATCAGTCTATCTATCCAGAGATGAACTTAGGGTGGTAAAAGTATTGTACAGGTCCCTGTATCATAGCACGGATTGCATTTTCGTCCTTATACTTTTAAAATGTACAATGATCTCTGTACCTAAGAAAAGGGAGCAAAATGTCAAGTTTTTTAACAAAAAAAAGGATTATTTAGGAAATTACGAAATTTGACGACTTTGATTCTTATTTGCATCATAAGTTAGCAAAATTTTTCTTTATGCTTGAAATTGGTCTATGTTACTTTTCTTTTCTTTCATTTTTAACCCTTAAGGATACGTCTTATAGTGTAAATAGGAACCAAAGTCATTGACAACTAAACAACATACACATATGCAATATCTTTGTTCATTTTAAAAATAGAATGGACTAAAATGAAATTTGCGCTATGATGCAGGGGCCTATACAGTAATTTTACCGTGGAGGGAATAATGTATTGATTGTCTTTCGATTAATATTAGTTCGACGATAATAGTTGTTAGAGAAACAGAAAACAATGAATGAGCAATGTAGTTTGTCTCTAGCAGAATGATGGCTTTAAGGAAAAGAATGCTTTTTTTTTTTGGGGGGGGGGGGGGGTACTGTAATGTACTTTCACTCTGCTTGAATTAGCAATAATTTCTTAAACTGAAAAATCTTTTAATTTAAGTATTGGGACGTTTTTTTTAAAGATATGTTGAGTCTGATGAAAAATATTCAATCGAAAAAAATATAATTTTACTTTATATATTTAGGGATAATTATAATAATATCATTATATATATTATTTTCCTTTAATTAAATTTCTATTTTTATTGGATAAAAATAATATTTTTTAATAAATATATTATTTTGGGTACGGTCTGGTTTGGATTTTATCTCAAAAATTAGGTAGGGTTTTGGTTGGGTGAAAAGCGTGTATTTTTCAGGTGAGTTTGAGTCGGGTGGACAGTTTAAAATTTTTGAGTTGGATAGGATGAACTGAAAATTCGACCCGACTCATACTTATCCCTATCGTATGCAGTAATGGAATTGACATATATTATTTTATTATTTTTAATTTATTTGAGATATATAAAATGTTAAAATTACATTATTTATGTTCGAGTTCAAAGGTTAAAATTACATTATTTATGTTGTGAAATTAAAGATTAGTTTTATCATTTAATCCGAGGGTTGAAGTTATTTTGTATCTTTGAATTTATAATTACTGAGGGGTGAGTATTCGATCAATGGATCGAGTTGAGTCAAAATATTTTAAGTTATTTGAGTTAACGAGTCATATTCTATAACTCAAAATTTATTTTGATTTTTTACGAGTTGATTTGTTCGAGTTTTTATTTAAATTTAATTGTAAATATTTATAATGTTATGGTATTATTTTATTTCAAATTAAGCAATTTTCTATAATTATATATATGTGTGATATACATATGGTGTTCAACCAGTTAGTTCGATCGGTTAACCGATCGAACCGAACTGACCAAAAATTATTAATTGATTTTTTTACCTTTAATCATCAATCGAATCAAAAATTTTTGAATTTTTTTTAACCGAACGGAACAAAGTTTGGTTAATTTGGTTGGTTAATCGAATTAACCAAAATTTTAAATGATATATATTATATATTAAATATTTTTAGTTAATTTGATTAATTCAATCTATTAATTTAGTTAAAACTTAAGTTTTAACACTCCTAAAGCTACATAAAAAATAAACAATATAAATAACATATTAAATATTTAAAAAAATGTTAGTTCGGTTAATTAAAGATTTCAAACCGAATAAATCAATAATCTAACTTTAAAAAAATCATTAACTGTTAACAGATCAAACTTTAAATTAAACGATCGATTAACCAAATTTTTTTTGGTTCAATTGGTTTAATCGGTTTCAACCGATTAATGAACACCCTTTTACATAAATCATGCAGAGTTGTATGACTCAACTCAAACTTGAAAATAATCCACTAACTATTAAAACTTTTAAGTTATTTGAGTTTCATTTTATAACTCAAATCAAATTTCAAATTTTTTGAATAGAATCAAATTTATAAAATTATAAAACAATTTATAAAATCACGAGTCGAATCAAATTAAATTAAATCATGATTTTTATCACAAAATCATAAGAATTTTTTTGAATTAATTCGAGTTTTATTTATCCGTTATCCAAATTCGGAAAATTTCGAATAAAAAAATTATAACTTAATTAATTATTTAATTTTTTTTGCGAATTAATTAAACCATGCAAAGCATGCATGGGGCCGCATGCCGCATATGCATATGCTGCCGCCTACAATTACTAAATATTATTCACGTTTCTCCTCTACGTTTTGTCTAATTCTGTTTTAGTCCCTCTACCCTATTAAAATTTAATTTTTATTTTTTATAATTTAGTTTCACATAATTTATTTTATATTTTTATAATATTATTAGAATCCAAGTTTATAACTATTATTCACTAACAAATTCGAGAGATTATTGAAAAAAAGGAAGGGACTAATCCAAAATTTAAAACAGTGGAGGGACTAGAATCATGATTATACCTTTATTTCTTGACTGATTCTTATCTCAAGGCCTTGTTGGGGACATATATTATATAATATAGTGTAAGGCTTATACTTGAACTACACGTGTGGAGTTACGTGAAGCGGAAGCAAACAAGTTAATCTGTGTCCCCGACACATAGGATTATTACCTTGTGAGTGAAGAAAAATGTGCCAAAAAAAGAAGACATTATTAATTGAGTCAAACTCAAGAGACCACCCCATTGGTTGTGTCCATGGCCTACAGGTCCCCTCCAATCCCTTCCAACAAACACCCCCATAATATGTACACATATAAAATTATGTTACAAGTTTATTATTTAGGATTTTAGATGTTTGTACAACTATAAATATGTCTATATTATTTCTAGGTTTAAGTGAGTGTGTTTTGTATTTGATGGCAGATGAGTACAATTTCGTGGATTTCGTACCGTATCTATTCTAATTGGGACATAGATGGATATAAGTTTAGTGGGTAATGGACGGGTGTGGATGTAAAAAGTTATACTCGTCGTGGGTAGTGGGTAGGTGATAGATTTGAAACCTTACTCACCTCGCTTCCACCCGCCCACTAACTATCCACCATATAAAATTTGGACCATTATGAATTTAGATATAATTTTAGAGATTATTCTATAAATATTAAGATTTTATAGGACATAACATTTAATTTAACAAAATGTTATGGTATAAACATTTTTAGAACTGAAGATCGTCGGTTCTTCTATTTCAAATTTGCGTGACGGGTACAAACGAGTACGGGATAAGTAGTAGGTATCTAGTTAGGTAGTGAGTGTGGGGATGGATTTGAGAAAACACTCGCGTGGGTAGGCGTGGATTTAAAAATGTTACCCGTTATGGGTGGTGGATAGAAAAATATTAGGTATGTATAGGGATGTGGGAAGAGATATCCGCACCGGACTTACCCGTTTAACATCCTTAGTTTTGTACCTATAAATATGTAACAAGATATTCAAAACACATGGGTCAAACTGTAAATATATGTGTGCCTATTTCATGATCAATTTTGACCCAACATGTTAAAAAAGAAAAAGGAAAAGAAATAATACTCTTGAATTCTATTGACATGCAATAGGTGAGATGGACATAGGTCTGAATTTTGATTAATTCAACTTTATCCGGGGAAAAAATCCCCTTTAATCAAAATTTGATTCGGTTCAAGTATAGAAAGACTCTATACGATCTACTTTTTCGAATAAAACTCACACCGGAACTAACATACATATATTTTTTAATTATAATTATCTCTAAATTTATATGGGTAATCACACTATTATATCGAGTCGTATAACTTTCATCATAAACTCGACCTAATCTTATCCTCTAAAAATCCCTAATCCAACTCTATTCAAACCTGAATTTTCATAAATAAAAAAAAATCAATTCTATAAGATCAGATTGAGTTAGAACTCATCGGGTCCGAGTCCAATGTTCATCCCTACACGTGTCTAACGATTTGATCACGCATTTTAATATGATTTATACAATATTGATGCCGTGAGGACCTAATCAGAAATACCAATATAAAATTAACCCATCTATATGTAAACACATAGAGATTGCATTATATTATACAAATTCAATGTTTAAAGCAAACTCCAAAGCATCACTATCATCATCACCATTACCACACCATGAAGCCTTCTCTCCTTCTAAAACCATCATTCCATTGCCCTCATATCATATATATCTCAACCTCCCCACTCAGATCATCATCAGAAATGAGGAAACCAGAAGACAAATTCAATAACAACAAGGTGAAGCTGAGGAAAGGGTTGTGGCCGCGGGAAGAAGACGAGAAGCTGATCAAGTACATGCTGAGCGACGGCCAAGGGTGTAGGACTGACATTGCTCGGAATGCCGGTCTGCAGCGGTGCGGCAAGAGTTGTCGTCTTCGTTGGATTAACTACCTCAGGCCTGACCTCCGGCGGGGTGCCTTTTGTCCTCAGGAAGAACTCCTCATCCTTCACTTGCATTCCATCCTTGGCAACAGGTAAACGTATGTCTGCATGTAAATGATCTTGTTTATTGCTCTTAGTGTTGTGTACATGTTTGCGGATTCATGCATTTCCCTGGCATTCGAATTTTCTTTTGGTTATTTATCTATTTTACTAATCGTATTCATTTTCAAAATTTAATGCTATTTACTCCATACAAAAATTTTATGTTATTAATATATATGTGCGTGCTCTAAAAAATATTTATAGATCTATCACTAAGAAACAAATAATAACTTAATTTTCGAACATGAATGGTAAAACAAACATGAAAGATGCCAAAAAAGGAATTATGACTATCATATTGAAACGTTAAATATGAATAAACTTTTGTTGGATCGAGCGATAAAAAACTTAATGTTCTTTAAATAATTTTAAGTTCGAATTTTATAAATGGAATAATTTATATATGTTTAGGGTTCTGAACTCGTAGAGTAGATAATAAATATTGAGAAGTCAAGTGATACTAAATTCGACGTCGTTTGCGTAAGATTTTTAAGTCCAAATTTTGTTAACGGGGAGAACGAAGGTGATGTAACTTTGTCTCCATTTAGGGTTTCAAATGTGTAATGTAGTCGTTGAAATGTGATCTCTAATATATTTAAATTTATAAATATTAAGAGATGTAACCATCTATTAAATATTTAAATTTATAAATTTTAAAAATACAAATTTTATTTAACTAATATATAAATTAACAAGAATCTATAATATTATTCTACCATAATATTTTGGGGTCAATCTTCTGTCCACTCAACAAATAGATATATATATATATATATATATATATATATATAATTTTAAGATCGTTCGATGAGTGAAATAAATGGCTGAGATTAACAAGTTCATATATATATAATTTTAAGATCGTTCGATGAGTGAAATAAATGGCTGAGATTAACTACTTGTTTTTTTAGTGAATATCTTATCATTTCCTACTGTTAATCTCAGCCATTTATTTTCACTCATTTAACGGTCTTAAATCTTTATAAAATTAAAAGAGTTTTAAATTGTGTAAGATGATTCTATCCCGTATATATATATATATATTTATGTATGTATATGATGATTGTATAGTGTTGTTTTCATTGATTTTTCAAGATATTTACAGGTGGTCTCAAATAGGAGCTAGTCTTACAGGAAGAACAAATAACGAAATAAAGAATTTTTGGAACTCAACACTGAAGAAAAGATTGAAAAACACCACGACCATCACCACCTCCACATCTTCATCACTGAACAACACTGATTCAACATCAAATCCGATCAGAGGAGGAACCATTTTCCCTGTACTGCATGAACAACATGTCGACATTGCTACCACCTACTTATGCGCCGACATATCGTCGTCGTCTTCACCACCATCGACATCCATGTTGTGCCCGTCGACGCTCGCCGTAAACCGATTCGACCAGTCTCCTCGCCAACACATCAACGACCCTTATGACATGAGTGGTGGTGCACAGTTTCCATTCAATGGTGGTATAGGTGAGGGACTTTATGGTGAGGATCAAAGTGACATATGGGTTAGAGGATAATAATATTCATTATTGGAATGGAGATAGCATAAGAATTGGAGACTGGGATTTTGAGGGTTTGATGTATTCCTTCCCTAATTTCCTTGATTTCCAAGTCCAATAGCTTCCTTCTGCCTTTGTTCTTTTGGTCAAATGATGGTAGAAGTCCCTCCATTATGCAAATTTGGGGTTCACTTTCCTATATTTTAATTTAACATACTCTGGTCCTCTATTTTTATAATATTATTAGTTAGTTCAGATAGTTGACACTGTTTACTATTTCAGCTATAATGTTAACGTGAATTTTTCTTAAAAACACCCTTTCTAATTTGTGTTTTAAGAAAAAATCAAGTAAGCATTTTAAGTGAAATAGTTAGTCGTGTTAATATTTTGACTAACTAATAGTATTATAAAATTATAGGTACCAAATTATGCAAAATTAAAGTATAGTGATTCGATTTTGAATTTGAATATAGTAGAAGGATCAAAACCATAATTTGACCGTCCTAGCTTCCATAATTTTGAGCGTCTGGAAATTACACGTATAAATCGATCTTGTACGTATGTATTTCGGTATATTTGTACTTATAGACAAAAAAAAGGTCTATAGTTTTAAAATTTATGTACAAATTAGGGAATAATTTGAACAATATTTGCATGTAAACAAAAGGTAATTAAAAGGTAATAAACCATATTAAAAACGTATTTTTTGATTAATGATCATATTAGGTATGGTAGTTGTCGTCGCATTCTTTACGATATCATCAACATCAACCGCTCGGCTCGGTTCATCGCCGATGGCTGCATTTAAGATCTGCTTGCTTACAGGTCTTCGCTGATGGTTTAGCAGTTGCTGGACGTATATGTTGTTTTTATTCTTAATTTTTCTTTCAATACAAGTGTGAAACTCTCTTAAAGCCAAGTTGATACAAGTGTGAAACTCTCTTAAACCCAAATTGAGCTGGGTCAGGGTGGAGGAGTTTAATTTTCAGATCAGGTTAAGATGAAACAAAAACTCGACCTGAACCATGACCATGCCTGTAAGCACCTAAGAGTGACAACATCAAGGGAGACTTGTACGGATACTCAGATTAACCACCATAATAATTTCAGACCTCAAAGCCCCAAGGTCTTCAATTTTCTTTGTCCCCTTTGTTATTTAATTTGGTCGGGGAATTAGTAAACTTGATGCTGTCCAAGGCGGTAAGTTTGGAGTTATTTTATGGTTTTGAAATCGGGAAGACAGAGAATTCTTTCATGCTATCACATCTACAGTTCGCGGATTATTTGTTAATTTCATGTAATGCTTCTTTGGGTCAGCTGAAGAACGCAAGTAGAGTGTTACGTACTTTTAAGTTGATGTCGGGCCTGCAGTTGAATTTGGTGAAAAGCAAAATTGTTGGAATTAATATGGACGGGAGCATTACTAAGGAATGAGCGGACGAACTTGGTTGTTCAGTGGGGGAGTTTTCGACTGAGTATCTTGGACTTCTCCTTGGTGCGAAAAAGAATTCAACAATGCTTCAGGAGCCGATTATCCAAAGATTCTGCAAAAAATTAGTCTGGTGGAAAGCATCATCTCTATCTTTAGCTAGGAGAGTGGTTTTAATCAAATCAGTGCTCAATTCCTTACCCATTTATTTCCTGTCCATTTTCAGACTACAAGCCCATGTTTTTGAAGAAACTTAATTCTATTATGGCTAAGTTTCTTTGGGGAGGTTCAGAAGATAAAAAGAAGATCCATTGGATGAATTGGTTAACCGCGTGCCAACCTAAACATTTGGGAGGTCTAGGTATTTTAGATTTAATTCTTATTAATCGAGCACTCCTTGGGAAATGGTCTTGGAAATTTGCGACAGAAAAAACACTTGGTGGAAAAGATTGGTGTATAACAAGTATAATGTAGATCCGAGAGCTTTACGGATTGAATTTACAGCATCTCATAGAGCATCCTAAAAACAATACTGAAAAATAGTGAGAAGAATGATGAGTTTGGGCAGTGGTTCCAAAATCACATAAAATTTCAGGTTGGCATGGATGAATCTCTAAGGTTCTGGCATGATACTTGGCTAGGTGGTTATCCTTTAAAGGTGTAATTTCCAAGAATGTTTGTTTTATCAGTCAAAAAAGAGAGGACAATTGCTCAATTCAGCTGTCGGAATCAATCGGGTTGGTGTTAGAACATTCCATTGAGAATGAACCTCGCTGATTGGGAGGTAAAGCAATGGTTAAATCTAATTTCTTTGTTGCAGAATATTCCTTGTGAAGAGGAGAAGAATGATGGTTGCATATGGTTAGGGAATGAGGAAGGTACTTATTCAGTAAGGTCATGTGTTAGGTTAATATATGAGCGGTAGCCTATAAATTCAGTTTGGATGAAGCAATGTGTGGCTCGGAGTGGCACCCTTGAGAGTGGAAACCTTTGTATGGCAAGTAATCCATCTGAAGTTGGTGAAATCGAAGCTTTCTAAACGAGGTGTTGATGGCTTGGAAGATGTTTTGTGCCCTCTTTGTCGACACGAACCCAAAATTGTTTCACAGATTATGGTATCTTGTAAGTTTGTGTGGGATGTTTGGTGTATTTTTTCTGCATTTTTGGAAAGTTACAACGGTGCTGCCATGAAATCCTGCTGATTTAGTAGTGGCTTGGATGGACTTGGTTCAAAACTCTCACATTTGGACGTTCATACCAGGTATGATTATGTGGCCTGTGTGGAAGTGTAGGAATGAAATCGTTTTTAAGAAGGGTTCATTTGATTCAATTCAACTATCATTCATCATCAGATTTAGATTGGTTTGATGGTTTGTTGCAAAATTTCCTAGTACTAATTTGCAGTTTGATTGCTTGCTGAGTGATCCATCGCTAGCATATATTCATTGGAATGCCAAGAAGGTGATACCCTCTTCACCTGGTTGGTCCCCTCCTCCCTTAGGTTTTTTGAAGATAAATCTTGATGGGCAGTGGAGAATGAGTGGCATAAAGGTGGAATAGGTTGTCTTGTTCATGACTCAAATGGTAAGTTGTTGGGATCTTTCTCAGAAAAGGTGGGGTTTCACCTCCCTATTTTGGTAGAATTGCTTGCAATTAAAACATGATTACATTTCTTCTTTGAGAAGGAGTGGGAACATAAAGGGAGTTTGATATTGAAATCGGATTGTTTGAAGGCTTTGAAGTGGATCAAAAATCCTGGTTCATGTCCAACTTTGTTCGAATCTTTGGTCAAGAAAATTTGTGCTATGGTGGTGAATAAAAGTGTAATTGTATGGTATGTTTAGAGAGGTTGTAATTGGAAGGCTGATGAGCTTGCAAGTTGGTAATTGGGTATTAGTTTGTAGTGCAGCCTATTGTTCTGATGTGTATAGGATGTCTAGGTTATTTTGTAAGGAGGGGCAAGTATTGTAAAGTTAGGGATAGGTTTTTGTTGTGTTGTCTATAGATTGTTATAGTCGTTTTGTAGATATATTCTGGTTGTTTTTGGTTGTAATGTACTCTTGATGTACTTGGTATTTAAGTAATAAAATTTTGATGCACTCTTTTCCTCCTTCCAATGTTTGTTAAGTTATTTTCGTAACTTTGACGATTATGAAGGGGTTTTTAACGAGTCCTCCCATTGTCATAAAAAAAATATTGGGATCCTGGGTCATGCATGAACATGATAAAGATACATTTGATGATTCTTTGAACCAAAGCATTGAACCTTAATTCCCAACCGACCAATAAAGGCCCTGGCCCTACAAATCACTGTCAATGCCATTTCATTTATGGGGTGAGTGGTTGCCATCATACATCAAATAGGTACACCATCCCACTTCCCCTAAAAAAGAGACCACCACCACCACCACCATCATCAACATCTTTAGGGTGTTGGATCCACATTACTTCCTTTTCCATCAAGGACTATACCCTAAATTCAGTCTATTCATGCAATTTCTTCCAATGCATATGAAATACAAATTTAACATATGCAGACATGGACCGAGGCGGTATTGGGGTGCGGTGGCACAAATCATGAATGAGAAATCAAATGAATCAAAATCATCATACATCAAGGAGAACAAGGGAAAAAAGACAACAAAAATTGAAGAGAAGGACATCAACCATGCATATAGGACAAAAAATAAAGATATTGAAATAATAACTTAAACTTGGTTTTTACATCATCAGAAGGAAATGCATTATTACTAGTATTATCCCATAAAATGCATAACATCTAAATCATATGAAAAACAAATACCTTAAACAGCAGGCGCTTGAGTGCTTAGTATTTGCCCCGTCTGAGGCTTCCTACACCATTTTTGCAGGAAATCTGCTGCAACTGTAACAAATAAATATGGAAGTATTATGAGAACTCAAAATGGTACAAAACCTTAAACAGCAGGCGCTTGAGTGCTTAGTATTTGCCCCGTCTGAGGCTTCCTACACCATTTTTGCAGGAAATCTGCTGCAACTGTAACAAATAAATGGTTAAAAAGAATTTCGAAATAAAGTACACGGAAAATTTCCACCTACTCTTTAAGCCACGCTTAGTTTATCCTCACAACATCTCGACTTCCTGGTGTTATCATTTTTTTTTCTCTACACTACAAGCTGATCAAGCTGCATTTGCTCAATCCATGCTCCTATAATAGAATCAATCTGGGAATTAGAATCATTTGAAACCTCGCCAGATGATGCGCCGTGTGGGACAGGAACTACCAGCTTTTCTTTCATCACCTCGGGTTGGGGTTCCTTTACAAGAGACTGGACCCATGATAAGTCAGGCTCCTCAGAAACTTTACCAAGCTCAAGCGATGATGATCTTCTTAATTGACCCATTTCATCTGCACTAACTGACCAGTTCAACTTTCCATTAAGTGAACCCCACTTGGACAAAGAAGAATTCACAGGGGATCCAACAATAGTAGCAGGATTGTTAGAACCAAGTTCTCTGGAGCTAAGGCAACCTAGCTGCTGTCGATGCTTCTCGTACTGAGCATGTGCAGAAAGGCGAGCAGCTATGGGGGAAATTGGCTCAGTACATCTTGGTGACATTCTTCCAGGAGACCCAACACCGAAAGAAGCCTGTAACAGTGGATGCTCGACGTTTTTGTGTGCAAAAATACCAGTATTGATAGGAGAGAGCTTGCTCTGTTGCTGTTGAAATTGATTAAGGAGAGCCGAATTATGAGTTGGAGAAAATATAGCAGAAGCAACTTGCCGATCAGCATATCTAGGAGATGATGAGATTTCTGCAGAAAATAGCTCTTTAAGGTCTGAAGGAGTTAATGTTCTAGACCGACCAGAACGACTCAGAGACATTGGACTGTTAAGAGACTGGGAAAAGCAGGGTAAATCATTGAGATTCTGTTCTTGAGCATCAAAATCTGACCACATATCAAAGTCCTCAAGTGGGATGTCTCGGGCACTAAGGGAGGATCTCAGGCGACTTGATTGAAAGTTGCTTCCAGGGAGATGAAGTGTTGGAACATTTGGTTGAGGCCACGCTGGAGATGAGTGCGAAAGGCCATTTGCAGATGGAGACATGTATTGATTAAATGGTGAAGGGGATACGACAGATACTGATGAGGGTGAACCAGGTAAAAGGCTCATAACAGCAGCCATGTCCATGGCACTAGCTGCAGATGCAGCTGCACGCGGAGAGGCAACAGCCGAGCCAGTTGACACATACAGTGGGCGGAGTTCTTCAGCTGTGTGGGCAAAAAAGCACACCCGCCTATCGCAACTTGTGCCATCCTTGCAGATCCGAGTGCGGTATTGTGTTGGATGTAGCCAACATTCAAAAACTCCATGGGCATATTCACACATATCCCCACGTCTACAAGACCCTTTTCTGAAATCAGAGCAAGGGACACAGCTGTAGTGGTACTTACGAGGGTCCCTTCTCCGTGCATTCTCTCCTGGATGAACAAATGGACACTCTGTCCAGTCATGGGAGTATGCTCTCGAGCAAGGACGGATCTTGAATGAAAACATGCGGAACTCATCAGTTGCATAAATGCTGTTCTTAATATCAGGGAGAGAGGGGTCTACAGGGTACTCTTTCCTCTCTGTTGCAGAGTTAACAGGTATATCAATGAACTTTGAAGCCATTGGTGAAGATGCCAGATTCGAAGCAGAGGGTGATGATCCATTTTCCAGTGATGAAGAAAGGGTCAGTGAGCCAGAAGCAGAGTTATCAATGGATATCCATAAATTGTGCTTGCCAAAGGGGTCATCAGAAACACATCCTGAAAGAAGTTCTTCCAGAACACCTCTCATGCCTTGGAGCTTTGGATGTACTACAAGAACATCAGCAGGTCGACGTCTGAAGGCATCTGAGCAATTTGGATCAGCACCAGCCGAAAAAAGTAGATTAACAACATCAATTGCATGAAGAGATCCGCCAGAGGCAGCACAGTGAAGGGCAGTACTTTTGTCTGCACCACACGATTGGTTGACAGCCGCAGAGTGAGTCACTATAAGCTTAACAACATCAACGCTACCATAGGTAGCAGCAACCATTAATGGGGTTCTATGCTTTGCTACTATTTGTTTTGAACCCTTTTCACGACAATACCAAAGTCCGACCTCCTCTATCGAAGAAGCATCTTGATCTATAAATCCTTTAATAACCTCAACATCATTGTTAGAAGCAAGCTCAAGTAAGCTAGAAAAGCAGTACTCAGTTTTCACAGTTAAGTGATCCATATTGATGATGTTGGTCGCCGCTTCTCCGGTGGACGTAGAACTCGGTTCAGATTTTGAATGCTCCCGACGGCCGCACATGCTTCGATTACCTGGAAATTTGTAAACAAAGATCAAAGACTGAAACTTTTTGCTCACACTCACATCAGTAGCTACAACAATCTTAAATCTTCTGTGTCAGATGACAGAACTGGTGATAACTTGGAATAATCTAGAAAAATACTCGACAGAAAATCAAGAAAGCCAACGATTCTTATTCTCAAGATAAAAAAGAACACTTCTTATCATGAATAAAATGCAGACAAATAAAAAATAAGATCTTTTCTAGTGATTACAAACTCACCCACAATTTAAATCATAATCCTTAAGCTTTTACGGTAGTGATGAACTTGTATCAACGGTACTTATCCAAGATTTAAGCCACCAACGTTTTTTTCTCATAAAGTATCAAAAAAGAAATTTGTCAAACAGAAAACCCATTTCTCAGGAGCTTTTTTGTTGTTGTTGCGGTTTTTAGCAGAAAAAAGCAGCGAAAACAAAGCGGCAGCAACAACAAAAAAGGAACCAATCGAAATTTAAATCAGATTATAAAAAAATTAATCTAAAAACAAGCTTACCCAGCAAGAAAATCCAAGCTGAAACTCAAAACCTGTGAGCTGAAGCAGATCTAAGGGGATAAGAGAGAGATGGGTGAGGAAATAAGATGTAGAAAGCAATGGGGAGTCGTATTTTTAAGGATCCAAAGAGATTAAATAAATTGATGTGAAAAATCATCTACCATCCATCGATGATACCAAGAAAAAGAGCTATTTGAAAGGTTTGTTTTTCCTTTATTGGAGAGAGTGAGTAATGAGAGGGAAAGAAAATTCTGAGAGGAAGTAACGTCTACAAGTAGAAATTATTAATTAATATGAAAATGAGAAGAAAATGGGAATTTAGTTATGGGTAAACTATGCAAATAGTCCCCTCTGTTTTTGGTATGACCAACATTGGTCACCAATTTAAAAATTAAAAGATAAATGGTCCCTAACGTTATCGGTTCATCCAGTTTAAATCCCTATCATTATCGATCTGTCTAGTTTAAATCCCTATCATTATTGATCTGTCTAGTTTAAATCCCTATGCCGTTAACTTCCATTAACCTCTTAACGAAAGTACAAAGTGGTAATTAAAAAATATAAAAAAAAATACAAAATCCACGTGTATTCTTCTTCTTCTTCTTCTTCTTCTTCTTACTTTCGTAATACTTCTGTTAAAGCGTAAACATGACTTAACGGCTGAGGACTAAAATCGAACGGATCGTTAATATTAGGGACCATTTACCCTTAATTTTGAAATTAATGACCAAAATCAATCATACCGAAAACAAAGGGGACTGTTCACATAGTTTACCCTTTAATTATTTATATGAAAATTATAAATTTATTGATAAAAAGAAATGAGTTTGCACATAGTTGCAATCAAATGACCAGGTTGAATAAAATATAAACTTAAGGAATTAAATTATGAAAAGAAAATTTTTATTGTCTAAAATATAAATTGAAGTTGCATAAATATTTTACATTGGGGTGTATGTACTTTAAATTTGGTGAAAATGATAGACTTAAAACGAACGAGGAATTGAAGAAACAAGAAAATTATATAAAATTAATGGACTAAAACATAAAAAAGGAAAAATATTATCAAAAATAATAATTAAATTTAGATAGGTATTTTAAAGTATTTGAAAAACGTTTGCTTTAAATTTGGTCAAAAATGACTTGAAAAGAATGAGAGATTAAGAAATAAGAAAACAGGGGCTAAATCATTAAATACTTGAATCACTTAGCTAAATACTAAATGAAGTCTTTTTAATTTTCAGTTTTTTTACTTACAAAATTCGGATTAGACTCGAACTTAAAATCCGAGCTAAAAATTCAAATTAACTTGATTAACTCGATTAAAAAATGATTTTTCGAGTCAAATTGAGTTTTGTTCGCCGCCATATCTTTAAGAATTAATTTTTAAGGGTGTGTTTGGAAAACCATCTCGTAATTGGGAGTTGAAAGTAATTATGCAATTATATCATGATGAATTATGATTCAATTCTAAATATATCCAACATAATTCAATCAAGTTTGACGATCAATTTTAATGTTTGAATTAATTTAAGATGATGACCGATTAATTCATATCAAATTTTATAAAAATATATTATAGAGATTGTTCTTTCTGTCCAATTTGCTTTAAGCTTAAAAATGTAGTCTTGATAAGTGCTTTTCAACAACCTTGGACTTGTGCAGTCAGTGATGAAGATCAGCAAACAAAAACCAAAAAGGGGTGTGGGGTTTGGTCTCGTAGTTATACCGTACGGTAGTCTAATTTAAGATTAAGAAACGACAAAAAATATGTGCGACCGAAAATATTATAAAAATCATAATATTTTATGTTTGACGTAACCTAAAATGTCAAATTTTTAACATTTTCGGTTCAACTAAAAATATTATAAAGAAGATTTTCTATCGAAAAATATTAAAACAAAATTAACATTTTAAGTTGCATCTAATCGAGAATATTGCATTTTACAGCATTTTCAGTCACATCTTTCCTCAACCTTAAATTAAATTATCTTTCCTTAAATTCTCCATATTTAATCCTCAATCCGTAGTAAAAAACTTCGCTTTTTGCTTGAAAAAATCTCACCCACATGCATTAATTCCAATGTCATTTCTATGAATTATTTTCTTAGTGGTGGGTGTGATATATATACATGATCGAACTTAATCTAATTTGATTGGATTAAACGAGTCGGATTAATGTCAACTTTTATTATAATAGTGTCGGATCATGTTCGAGTTGATCGAAAACTTATCCTAACCTATCTTGTTATAATCTTTAGTTTTAATTTCATTTTATTCCTACTTAAGGGAATGTATTGATATTAAATTGGTTTTTAACCGAAACTCTTAGATCGGACCCATTCGAACTCACACTCTTCAAAATATATCGATGGAACTAAAATTGAATTACAAACATTTTATAATTGCATTGTTTAAACTATGTATCATACACATGAGTTGAATATCCTACAAATCAATAAGCTACATTTTTTACAAGAAATCTGCCTTGTTTTTCATCATCCTAAAGTTTTTAAATCTATGGATTTTAGGCCATTTTACATAATGGAGAAGTCATCATTTAAGCCATCTATTTGCCCTTTCAATCTATGTTGTTGGATGATCAAGACCGAGGACTCGCACTCGAAACCCGACCCCGAAAGTACATCCCCAATCGAACCTAATTCTGGACATTCCTGCCAATCATTAAGTCCGAGTGTTAATATCGAATTCACCCGTCCACCTTGTCCCACGATGATGAGCATATACTGCCCTTTCAACGACCTAAGGGTTGTGTATGTTTCGGAAGAGTTCGCTAGATGTTTCTCCATGTAAGCCACTGTCCCACCCGCTACGTATTTCTCGTAGAACTCCGTGAAGCTCTCATCGTCGAGCTTCATCTCCGCTTCTTCCTCCGCTATGTTTGTGAGATTGATCAATCTCCTCGGCATGTTTTCCGAGTTCTTGTCGAGGAGGAATCGTATGACCGTGAGCTCTACTCCCGGATGCCATGCGACTTGGCCCGCGAACGATAGTGCTTCTCGATCGTCTTTGCCTCCGATGAAAATGATTGCCACCTTACATTGGGATGATTTTGTTATTTTTTCTGCAAATCCGGATCCTTTTTCTACCAAAATTCCAATAGAACATGGAGCTCGTCTAAGCAACTGTAAAAAAACCATGAAACAATAGTTAACTGAATTGCTATGTTGGATATGTTCATAGAGGTATATGTCCAACTTCCATCTTTTTTTTAGTGTTTTAATCTTGTATTCGAACTTGAAACGACCGGAACTTGAAATGACTCGAACTCGATTATCAAATCCAAATTAAAATATTTTGAAATGATAAAACACAAATTTAATCGGCAAGTTTCGAATAACCCTAATCAGAACTAATGTAAACTTAGAATGACATCGATCTTAATCAACTTTTACTTTAAATTACCCGAGCCCAAAACGATTTAAACCTAAACCTTAAATTAATTCAACTCGACTTCTACTTGACTCGTATTCGAATGAACACAGACATGATAAAAGCTAGGAAAGGAAGGTGTTTAATTAGTTACCTTACTATTAACGTATCTAAAACCAGGACTGCCTGAATCATGGGAACCATCCTCACTCAACCTCTTATGATACGGCAGCAAGATGATGGAGACCATCAAGTCCTCCGCCAAAGAAGACAGATCCTTGGCCATGCCGTTGAATGTCGAGAGCACATGCGACCGGCTAAGCGTGATCCCGGCGCCGTTCTCGTCGACGTAAGATTGAAAAGCTCGAGTGATGTGCTCCCTCATGCTGATCACCGACTCGTCAGTCACGACCATGTTGTCGGTCCCTTGGTCTTGCTTCAGCGTCGCCGCCAGTTTCTCGGTGAGCTCGACCATGTCGGTGACGAAAACGTGGAGTCCGGGGTTAGGTTTGCCCCTGGAGATGTCCATTAGGTTTATGGTGGAAGGCAGATTGTGAGGTTCATGAACGCAGAGCATGATTCTGAGTTCGGTTGTCGGGTCCAGGCACTGGAGAGTCATCCTTTGAACCGGGACAAGCTGCCTCGCTCGTTCAATTATATGATTCACAACGAAGGGAGCGTGCACAATAGACAGGAAGCTCACAAGCACCATTGAAATGCAAGTTGTCATCTCTATATCACCATGCTGCAAATATATTTAGACATGAATATTTATGAATTATATATGGTATTTCTTGTTTTAAATGCAACTCCTATGTATAGAGTTAATTCACCATTAGCCATTGGATTAATAAGAAGCAATGCAACTAACCCTGAGGGCGTGAACGGCGAAGTATACGTTAAAATGACCCTTAACCATCAAAAGCAATCCTATGGCTGCCAATTCGGGCCACCGGAAACCCACCATGATCCCACCGATGACAGTTCCGGTGATTTTCCCGACCGATAGTATGATTAAAAGCGCAAAAAACCTTTCCCATGTTTCCGGCTGGCCTCCTTCAAACTCCGTGAAATCAATCTTAAGCCCCACCCAGAAGAAGAGAAGAGGGTAAAAAAGCAGGTTCAAGAAGTAGTTGAGCTTGCTGATCGCCCATTTCGATATCCGCCCCTCCGTCGGCAAGAAAAGCCCCGCCATGAACGAGCTCAGATAAGGGTTGTAGCCGAACCAAGCGCCGCAGCTGCATATGACCGCCATGAAAGCCATGGATAGCACCAGGTGTGGCCCCTTGAGCGCTTTCCCCTCGGGGTTCTCGTTGTTAACCCAGTCCAAGAAGAGTGGCGAGATCTTCGCCGCCACCGACGTCTGTATCACCAGCGCCGACACCATCTTGACGACGTGCTTGACCATTTCCCTCGCGGTCGAAATCCTCATCAAGGGGAAGAATATGAAGCTGACGCAAAGGAAGACCATGGCTATCATGTCGGAGTGAACGCCCGCGACGATGGCTATCTTACCGATGTCGGACTTGCCGATCTTGAGATTCGTTATGAGTCGGGTCAATATGTGAGAGCCGGTGCCGGCGAGAGTGACGGAAAGGGTGATAGTTATGACGACCATGTTGGTCTCCTTGGTACCATAATGCAGCCATGGGGTCAGGACGGAGGTCAATAGAAACGTGGATAACAAGCTAGCGTACGCGACCACCGTATGGCGTGCCGGTGACTTGAAGATCACGTAAGGGTCCATTTCTAAACCTAGAACGAACGTGTACAGAATCATCCCGAAATCAACAATGTTGTCCATGTTTACAGCAGATTGATCCCCAAATGAATCACGTATGGCCTGTATCGAAGCAAGAAATATCCCTACCTGCATGTACATGAAGATTACGCGCGTCACAAGGATTAAATGTAATTATAATGCATACAGATAGAGCAAAATGAGAGACATACAAGAATATCAGAAATGATTTGGGGTTGAGATAAAGGCTTCAAGAGTTGGTGAAGAATCTTGCTCAGAATAAAAGTGGCGACGATAGCTACTAACTTCCACGATCCGCTCATCATGCTGTTGGCTACATATTTTAGGCATTGCCGTTGCCCGGTGCTGTTTGTTGGCGGCGGCGGTGGTGCTATCGGCCGAGATTTCGACGACATTGTATATTCGTATCTTGTTTGTCTGTTTATTCGTTTGTTCCTCGTAATATAATATATTTTTTCTCCTTTTTTTTGTTTGTGTGTGTTTTTAAATCTAAATGGATAGTTAACTAGAAATTAACTATCGGGAATTTTCTGATTTGAATGACAATGTCGTCTCCTCGTGATTTTTTAAAAATATTTTATGAAAGTAAAAATATATGTAAATCGAGAACATTTGATTTCATGAGTGGATGTAAATTGTTGCCTTGTATACAGGAGTAAATTGAGGAACTTCAGACATTTGAGTGATCTAGGACAACGTTAATCCAATGTTATCCAAGACAGAAGACTAGGGTCTCATCAACAGATTAAGGCTTGTGTCCAAATATTTTACAAACTCGTGAAGGCATGCATGTACATGGCAAATGATATTTTACACTGGACTTGATCTTACACGTTGATCCCTAAATTTAAATTTTTTAAACTTAATACTCGAGTTTTTATTGGAATGTTTTGATATTTAAATTTGAGGACAATTTTCAAATTGATGTTGATGTGATATTTTTTAAAAAAGTAAAAGTGTATCTGAGACTCCTATACATGTCCAAAAAAATCAATGAGGCCCTCGATATTTTTTTCATTCATTGTGGCTTTTGAACTTATAAAAAGAATCCATTGTGGCCCTTTGATTAACGGTTTTCGTTGTTGACCATTATGATGCTGACATGGCACTTCACGATGTTGATGTGGCGATTCACAGTGCTGATGTGGCAGTCCACAATGGCTGGTGACGTGGTAGATGGGTTGAATTGGTTTTTTTCAAGTTCAAGGACCAAATTGATTTTTTTAAGTTTAAGGGCTTATTTGATTTTTTTTAAATAAAATATTTTAAATTCAAAATATAAAATTATTCGAAAACTTAAATATAATAATACCAAAAATAAAAATTAAATTATTCAAAAATTAAAATATATATATTTTTACTTTTTTACCTCAAATTTAACTCGACTTTTATTTATATAAATCTAAATTCGTTAACAAACAATTAAAATTCATAAAATCAAACTAAATCAGATTTTAAAAAACAATTTTTATGTTATTTGATTTTATTTAAAAAACATGTAATACAATTCAATTAATATTTTATAAAAGACGAAATTGACTAGGGGTGTAAATGAGCTGATTCGAGTTGGAGTATTGTTGAGTTCTACTCGAACTCAAAAAGTCAAAATTGGCCTCAACTCGAGTCGAAAGCTCGTGAGTTAAAAAATATCAAACTCAACTCGAACTCGAAATTAAAATTTAAAGCTCGACTCAAAATTGAAAAAACTCAAACTCTAAACAATTTTAGGAGCTCTATTGAAGCTCGAGATCGATTTAAGCTCAAACACGGACTCGTGTACTTAAAAATACAGAAAAATAAACACGTGTACTTAAATGAAATTACGGATGCTTGAATTCTGCTTTAATTCACCTGCAGACAAAGTTGTTTAAGCCTTTACTCTCCTGATGACATATAGATTATGGCTCTTGACGTTTTAAACTATCAATGGCTACCAGAAATTCGTTTAAACATTATATTGATTCGAAATACACCCGGTCGGTTGGAATGGAGTAGGTTCCGGTCTGAGTCAGATTTGAAAGACCAGAAGTTGAAACGGCCACAACTACTTCACAAACGTTACCTCTTACTTCCCTCGCTACTCACCATTTTTGATTCCCCAACTTACTCTCCTGTGTGGTTCACCATGAACTCAGCTATCCTCGAGCGACTCGAACTCGCCGAACTCTATCGCTCTCACGACTAGTTCAATGCAATACGAATTCTAGACTTGCTCCTCTCTAAGTCTCGCACAATCCAAGACATTTAGTACTTTAAAACTCTTTCTCCATTTTTTTTTATTGTTGGTCTTCGAATTTTTTCCGCTTCTTTACACTCTTTAATTCGCTGATCGATTCTTGTTATTACAGCAATGGAACCTTTTGTCATAGTCAATTGCAACTTCACGAACACATGGTTAAAGATTGTGATCAGGCTCTTTAGCTTGACTATACACTTCTTCAAACTTATATTCTTAAAGGCATCTTTTTATTTTCCTCCGTCCTCCTATATCTAAGTGTTCTATTTTATTTGGCTTGTTAATTACATTTCTTGGAACTCAATTTTATGTATTTATATTAATAGTGGATTCAGAAATATTTTTTAAGGTAGACACATACATATATTAATCACATAAAATTTTGATACAAAATGGGCACCACTAAAATTTCAGTGGACAAAGCTATTAAAATATACTAGTGAACTAATAACTTAAAACAAATTAAGGTTTAAACAAGAACCTGATAATTACAATAGAATATCACACTTTTATTAATATGCAATACAATTGCAATATAACACACTTCTTTATTTATTTTTATCTATCTATAAGTTCTCTTACTCTAACACACTTTTTACGCTATTCACTACTCTAGTAATAATGATAAATCTCATTTCATATTTATAGATTTTAGAGTTTATTGGATTGTTGATACATGTTAACATTTTAACCATTAATCTTATAAATATTGAGAATCTTTTATAGATAATTTTTTGATGTAATATCAAATATTACAAATATCTTGATTATTTTATGAATATTTTTATATACATATTATTTTAGAATATTCTTAAGATATATCTCGTAAATGATAATTATATATTTATATAGTGAGTTTCTAACATTGGAATTTTTTTAATGATTAAAAAGGAAATTCATTAATTTTAAAATAATTAAATAATTAATTAATTTGGACAAATTACTTTTAATTTGATACTATTAATTCTTCTCCATTGTTGCATACAATTGGATGCTGCTTTTGTTTTTGTATTTGTTAGATATTGGATGTGACTTGATAGTATATCCTGATATAATCCCTCTATCTTAACTTGAGTTTATTCTCATGCTTTCCCAACTAGGCAACAATGTCGACCATGTATTACATTCAGAAATGGCTTGAGATGCCCCGTACAAAACAAATTGCCTATAATGGAAAGTTACTGTGAGGTGCCTAAAATAAAGCTAATAAACCGCGTGATAGGCAAAATAATGTAATAGGTTAAAAGCAGAGCACAGAGTTATAAATCAGAACCGAAAATGAGATTAATATATATTAATTTGGGAACTTTTTTTAATTCAAATATCAAACCGAGGGCCTATAAACAAGATTGAACTATATCGAGCCGTAATCGTTAACATATTATTAATATTTATATATATTCTATCCATTTGATCATATTTTTAAATAAATTAATGAATTTAAACTATTCGTATTTACAACATCTATCAATTTTATCCTACACCTGAAAACTTTAAAAATTATAATTATATTAGAAATTAACCAATCCATGGATGACCCTCTCGGGACAAAAGTGAAATAATTGATTTGTGCTGAATCATAATCAATCCAAGCTACCAACAGATTACCAACAAATAGGTTAATACCAACACCGTTATTAGTAATATCACCAAACTCCAAATCTTTCAGTATCGAACAATATTGCACATGTAAAAACGAACGCATAAGTTTATGTTAGAAAAGTTCGAAAAGTGAGTAACAATCGCACACCCAAATACGCCTTCGATTCATACCTGTATATGATAGCTTGAGTTCCCTTTGAAAGCAAGGCCAAGTTATTAAGCATGTATCGAATAAAATTTTCGCAAATAATGTTCAGATAATGCTACTTAAAACACTACTGCTGAAATTAATTTTTTTCTACCAACAGTATCGAATAATAAGCCTACAAGCAAAAACAAAAACCCACAACACTTGATATATGAGTAAACAGCAAAGTTGGTATAATTGAATGAGATAACAAGAACCGTACACATATAGGATAGGTTAGGACAAGCCCTAAATACCATGATGAAATTGAAGATCTCCTCTCTCATTAACACTCCATCAAACCCAAATGTCAATGGCTACAAAAAGGAGGGGAGAAGATTTTTTTTCTTCCTTTTGTACAGACACTTTTGGAAGCACGAAATAAATGTCTAGAGCATACATACCTCGGATCAATGACATGTGTTTTGTGTGTATGGTATGTATGTATCATCAGCAGGCACATCCTCCAGCCGGTTGCTGCGACTGGGATGAATTTGGGTTTGAAGACTTAAGATTGACGTCGACCATGTCTTCTTGTTTTGTTGAAGAAAGTGTTTCCATTCCAGGTAAAGCAGCCGCAATCTTCCTAAATAGAGCCTGTCAAGAGATCAAACAGGGAGTGTGAGAAGACATGGTTCATAAAGCTGGGGGAGGGGGAGGACTTGCTAGCAACTATAGACATGGTCCATGTTTAAGCAATACATAGAAACGATAGGTATGACCCTCCAAATACACGGACAAACTTTGAAAATTGCCCGACTTTCACACCCATGTCCAAATAACTTGAGCAATGCTTGCAATAATTGTCATGCAATTGAAGAACAAATGTTGCTTCCAGCCTTCCACTAAATATAGTGAAGATGATGCAGAAGTGAGAAACAAAAAAGACTGAGCAAACCTTCAGTGAATAGAAGATTGGTCTCACATCATAATATCATGGAAAAATGAAAAGGCAGCCAACGCCATATGACATTGACCTAAGCCTAACCACAATAATTGCCGATCCACATCGAGAATGCAGTCAAATTATAGGAATAATCATATGATAGGTTAAACATGGTTTACCTTGATATTGAAGCCAGCCTTGGCACTAGTTTCGATGAACATAACATTGAGTTCACGAGCCTTGGCTTCAGCTTCCTCAACTGAGACCTGCCTGTCAAATCAACCACAAAATGCACAATGATCCAACACAAATCAGGCAGTCACATTCAGGATCTGGGGAAATTGTTTATGCATAAATTAAAGTAATGAAAATTAATTGTCTACCTAGTTTCACTAGAAAGTACAACCATAATAACAAATTAATATTACCTTTTGTCCACAAGATCGGTTTTGTTCCCAACAAGCACAATTATAACGTCACTACC